GTTTTGGCCTAACCCTCTTCATCACACTCTGAGCTTTCTTTGAGCTCTTGGGTTGTTTAATCACATGTTCTTCAGTGCATGGCAAACATGTCTACAGACTTGTTTTCCTACCCTCGCCTTAAACTAATAATTTATGTTTGTTTTGGGATGATTGTACATTCCCATGCAATGTGCACGCATAAAAGTAAACCTGTAGAGACAAACTTTGAAAAGGCTGTACAACAAGTTCAAATGTGATATTAACCTGAAGAACGTGTTTTGTCTCTATAGCCTCAGAAGAAAAATGTAGCAGAGGCTTTAGGAGCTGGCAGACATCACAGATGCCCTCATTATAAGCAGACTGTCTGCCTCTCTGCTTATTGTGGCAAATTCTTGATGACAGCAGAGGCCAGAGAAGAGGACGGACATCTGTGAGTGGACAATGGTCCACTAATGTTTAGGCTGCATCCTCTGTCATGTGGGCAGATGGATGGTGTAACACAGATCTGATTTCCTTCATTTTGCATGTTGATACCAAAGGATCACTGAATATTGGAGAGACACTGAAACATAAAGAAACATAAATAAATTACAACTTTAACAATAAAATATATTTGGCACTGTGTTTTATTTATTAGTCCTGATAAATACAGCTTATATCTAACAGTTAAAAACAAAGAGGGTTTTAATTTTCTTTATTTAAAAGTGAGAAAATGAGCATCAGATAAAAAAGGAGCACATCAAATAATTACAAATATATAAATACAATTATTGAAAATACACATTATTTTGTAATATGATGCATAAAAGTACAAAACTAGTGTCTTTTAAGACATCAAGTCTACATTTATTATTTAATCATTGGGGAAAATGAAAAGATATGACACATAAACTTTCAAAGTATCAACTTTCTCTTGGATCATGTGACTTTCTAATCCGCAAATACATTTAAATTATCCTTTAGTTAAAAGAAGTAAGACAACTTCTGTGTATTAGCTGAGAAAATAAAGTAGCCTAACATAGACATTGATTGATATAAATCCCACTCTTTCTACCAATTGACGTCCATAGGAGGAAACAAATAATAAGGATGCAGTGGCAAAACAAAGCAAACCTCCGGGTAAGTCTTCTTTTATTTCTTCTACTAAAAAAACTCCACTTCTTAAACTCCGGGTCCTCAAAGTAGAAATTGTGAGACTGTGCTGCGATAAAAATCATTTCTCTCTCCATTTCCGTTTGATGCTTTGTTGAGCTACTCAGTCTCAACCAGGCGATAATCCACTGAAACTTCTTATATATTGAGGAGATAAAGAAAAGAGTCAAAAACAGGTGAAGAGGTGAGACTTTTTGCTCTAGGTCGTAATTTCTTCTGCATCGTTTCCCCAGCTTCTGCTCCCTCTGGTCTCTCAAGCCTGAGCGTGGAAGGAAAGAAAAGCCCTCCTGGGATAGAGATGAATGCTCCTCACTGCACGGACCAATCATCGCGATATGTTCTTCCGGCGTAAAGTTAGTCCGAGGGTTGATTAAAGGACAACACCCTGTTGTTAAAAAAATACATGAAGTAGTTGTGGCTGCTCTTCGTTCATCTCACTCCGGACACTTTGCATGAGAGGCTGCCTCTCTCCTGGTGGTCCAACACACAAAACACTGCTATTCTTGACCTCTCCCTCTGAGAGTGAGGTCAATTAAAAGGAAATAAACTCACTAAGTTTCTCAAACATGAAGAATGAAACTCATCCTTGATAGAGTTGCTCCTCTTGTTCTCATTAGGTTATTAGTTAGCTTACTAAAGCTACTTCCTCTCATGTAAATATTAGCCTGCTCTGAGGGGGCGTGGCCTCGCTGCTTCCATCCACTCACACACACTGAACAAGCTCTCTGCTCCTACAAAGACTCTCCTGCTTTATCTGTGCATTATTTACTCCTTTATTTTTTACTTTTCATTAATACAGTTGATTAAATCCTCTTAAACCTGAAAAAAAAATACATTTTCTGGTTATTAAAAAGGCAAATATCCTTCCTGCTGTCAGCCTCCTCTTTTTGGATTAGGCTACAAGTGAATTTCTGCAGAGCAAATGAACTATGCTGCTGCTGCTGCTGCTGTTACCAATTGGCTGGAACGTCCCCATGACTCACCAGATTGTGGATTTGATCTTAAGCTAAACCAACAAACTTATTAGAGGTGTGATGTTGATGATAAAATCTAAAACTCAATTTGCCTTAATTCAAAGATACAGCAGTAAGATTTTGACTTAAACTAAGCATTAACCCCAGTGAGCTAATGTTTTTGTCATGTTATTACCAAGTTTAAAGAAATCCCCAATCTTAACCTCTTTCACAAATCTAAATTTAAGATTAAATCAAATCAATAAAACTCATGTGAGGAACTTTTGGTTTGTGTTGATTTTGGTGTCCCCTTTAGACAAAGTGATCCCTCTTTATTTTTTGTTTATTTTCTCCTATATTGCTTTTGTTTGCATCAGCCTCCTTTCTTTAACACACAATTAATCACTCATTTTTTGTATATTAATATGCATAAAAAAGGGTTTCTTTGCCTCATCTGGCACCTGCCTCCTTGCAGCAGTTGCAGGCGTAAAATAAATTGCAAATTTTGATGCTGATTGTCTCATTTTTGTGTTTTTTGTTTGTTCTGTTTTTATTTTTACATTTTTAAAGGTCACAGTGAGCATTACTTTAATATATGCAGAAATGTATTTTTGTTCTGTCTGAGCTTTGAGGCTAACTTCTCTTTTTCAGGCCAATACATTCTCACTGGAATAAGAAATTCTAGAGGAAATAATGTTGATCACTGGAATATTATTTCACTGCAATTATTTATTATGCTTTAAAATCATATTTATGAAAGTAGCCGTATTTTTTTCATGCCAAATTCTGTTTTGTTGTGCCCATCCTCAGGTCCAAATAAAGGACCTGCTGTGTGCAGAAGCTGCAGTGAGGGAGATGAAAGAGAGAGGCAGGGAGGGGGGGCTGCACTCAGGGTTAAAATGGCCGCCATCACTGAGTCCTGAGGTGATTTGTAGCCTGTGGTGTAGCAGCTCATAGACCTAAATCCATGAATGAAATCAACTTTAATGCTTTGCTACTAAAAGAACTTGCTGCTGAGTCACTTTCACTTCACCAGATGAAACTTTTTGGGGACCTGCTCCGATTTTTAATCACTGATGATTTCTGTGTCATAAATTTCATCCGACTTGATGCGCCCTGAAACCCAAAGATGCATCATTTTATAAATTGTGAACACAGTTGTTTTCTAAAAAGAAGAGAAAAAAACTCCCCCCACTATTTCAGCTTGCTGCTGCTGCTCGGTTTGAGATGTGTTACTTGGATTTGGAATGCAAATGCTTTGTTCACGAGGAGGAGGGATCAGCGAGGAGTCTGAAAGCGACGAGTTTTTGATTAATGAGCTTTGAAATGGCTCTCCAGGAGCAATAAAGGATGAACTGCGATCCCTCTCCCTCCCTCTCTTTCTCTCTCTCTCTTTCTCTCACACACACAGCATTGCATCATTCCCAATGTCAAAGAATATTTTTTATTCTCTTGCTGTTATTGTCACCAATCTGCTCAGCCTCACCCACCAATAAATAAAATGACAGATTTTTCTTCTACTGTTCTAATTCATGAAAGAAATGTGTTCCTGCTGACTCTGTGCGTAAAGCGTACCAACCAATTAGACAGCTCTGATTGGGTTTTAGTCTATCTAGGAAAATGCTGCTCATCCTTTTTTCCCCCAACAGAGTAAGATAATCACGTGACCCTGTGTAAAATAATAAGTGTCATGTGGGAGATGCAGTAAGCTCATAGACTCCCACATACTCCAATAAAGCATCAATAACGCGCAGAGGCTTTTATTCCGCTGAAATGCACTTTGCATTGGAAGCATGGAGCCGTCTGATGAGTTTCAGATATCTTGGTGTCTAATTATTGATCTACTCTGCCTGTTTGGACTGTACAGTAGCTGTGCAGTCAATAAGCTCCTCTGTATACTGTTTCAGAGCGAGCACGCACAATGAGGAATTGAAATAATCACGCACATACAGAGGATGAGCAGCGCTGCAGGGTTTCTGCAAAATCAACGAAATGCAATAAAAAATACAAGTTTGAGCACTTTATTTACAAAATGTTAAACACAATAAAATATAACATTTCAATATCATTAGGGGGTTTCATAAATTTATGGATATCCAACAGAATGGAATAACAATGAGAGACATAAAAATAAACAATGGACTACACGAAATGACATGCTGGTGTGTATAATATTTCATACTTCGATAGTCTACGTTTTGCTTAAGGTTTGACACAAGATAGACATGGACATGTAGTGGTGTTTATACACTAGCAAATGCCCCATTTATGCCAGATTTACAATTAAAGAAATGCTTTTATCGACAATACACTGCGAGTCATAGCATTTTCCAAAACCCTGTTTTACCAACACTTCCAAGTGCACTGATGTGTCCAATCTTAGAAAACAAAAAGTCCACACTTATAAATACTCGCATATAAACGATAAATAATGTGCAATACAAAAGTTATTAAATAATAAATAGGCTAATGTGCCGGGAAGATTATGCAAAAAAAAAAAAAAATCAAAGAAAAATAAATAATGCCCGTAAGGAGAGTGAGATCCTGACAAACAGACAGAACATTTCCCTAAAAGTCTTTCTCTCTAAACATGAGCTTCTACTTTCGTGATCTACAAGACTTACCTTCAAGTAACGCCATGAAATATTCAATCAAAAACTGCGCATTGCACTTGAGAAAAACATAAAAAGGAGTTGACAACCAGTCTGCGCGTCAAGAGAAATGGACAAAGCTGTATTACTTAGAAAATTATTACACAATAGCATTAATAGTAATATCAATAATACTGGAATAATACACACGACTCGCTCGGAGTGTAGTTATTAGACTAGTGAGGTAATAAAAAGAGCGCAACATAATTTGGCACACACATACACACACGCACGCGCGCGCACACACACATAAGGAACCACATATTACAAATGCGTGAGTTTAGGCGCTTCCTGAATCCTTCCCTGAGACGCTTGGTGAGAGGTGAGGTCTGTGTACGTGGGGTGGGGATCACAGGGTCCATGGTGGTGGTTCCCCGGAATCTGGGCGGCACAGCTGTAGTCCACGCTGGTGGATGACGGGTGGGGAAGGTGGCCCAGGTTGAACATGGGGCCCGAGGCTGGCATGGAATCAACAAAATTTCCACCCACGTAAACGGGGCTGCCTTGCAAATTCGCGTTGGCAAAGCCTCCGTTGCTCTGCATGCCATGGTGTTCGTACTCAGAGCCCGGGTACCTCTTCTGCTGCGGGATGCAGCCACCCAAGGGCGCCGTGTAGGCAGCCAAACCGTACATGTTCTGCTGGGGTTTGGCGAAGGACGGGGGCGAGGGCGCGTCATAGCTGAGGCTATTTTGGAGCTGGCCAGAGTATCCAATGTGATTTGGGCCACTCAGCGGCGGGCTCCTATCAGGGGAGTGCCCCAGGGGAGAGTGCGCGAGCCCCTTAGATTTCTGGTCCTTCTTGTATTTCATCCTCCGATTTTGAAACCAAATCTTTATTTGGCGCTCGGTGAGGTTCAACAGATTCGCCATCTCCACTCTCCTCGGGCGACACAAATAGCGGTTAAAGTGAAACTCCTTCTCCAGCTCCACCAGTTGCGCGCTGGTGTATGCAGTTCTGACCCTTTTGGAGGCCGGACCCGGTGGGCTCTTTTCATCACTCACCTCTCCACCTGAAAAACAAAACAAACAAAGAAAAAAAAACACCACCATTTTAGCATCTATAAGACTAATACACTCATGAAATGTGATCATAAAAAGGCCCAATCCACCACCACCCCCCAGAATCATCCCCCACACACTCACAGGGGTCTCCATCATGATCTCTACCTGCAGCCGCGCAGTTGTTACTCTTCTGCTTTGCGTTCTGCCGGGTCTCCTTCATCCACGGGAAGATCTGCTTGGTGAGAGCCGGTGTGGCAGAACTGGAGCCGCTGCTGGATGGAGATTTTTTCTTGTTGGATGCAGATCCATTAGAGCTGGGGGAGGATGCGGACAGTGGAGGTCCTTGCTGCTCCCCAATACTGTTCGCCTGGCTGCTGCTGCTGTTGCTTTGACTGCCGCTTTGGCGCATGCAGTCCCCGTTCAGGTCACCGTCTTTAAGGGTTGGGGGCCGAACAGAGGGGGTCTGGATGGGACATACTGAGCTCTGATAGTCAGTCTCGATGTTAGAAGCGGAGTAGGATTGGTGAGCGGTGCCGTAGTTGTAAGAGTCGGGTTTAGGGTAGGTGTAACCTCCAAAAAGTCCAGAGTTGTCGTAGTATGTTGCTTTCTGCATTTTGGGGATTCAGAGTCAGTAAGCTGGAGCGACTGGACCCAATGGCATTGATGGGGTTTATTCACGTGATTGGTGTTTCCCACCGTTGCTCCAGTCTGTGACCTGCACAGAGATACACATCATATGATTAAGGCCTGCAATCATCACACCCCGAACCTTTTCAGTACTGAGGTTCAGAACCTGCTCGAGTTTCAATAAACCGTATCTCCTCTCTACTTGGTCCGAGCTGCTGAAGGCCAAACACAGCAGCCCCACAGATCACCACAGTGACGCATATCAAAGCTCCAGGTTCCAGTAGTGTGACTCATTTCTGGCACAAAACAGTTAAAGTTTAACTTTCGCTAAAAGGACCCTCGAGGAGGCTTTTGGAGTCCCTTGGAAATAAGCTGAATCAGCATTCGACACCCATATACATTCCCTCTCAAACACACACACACACATATACACTCACGCACACACACACAATACCCTTTTCACTAATCACCAGGCCTGACAAAGCCCGTCATGCATTGTTCCCTGCAGCAGAAATATAGCCCACCAAGGCCGCGCGCACATGAGTTTGGCTCTCATTTACGCACAGAAGAAACTCAAAACGGATCCCTGAAGTGATTGTTGTTATTAATGTTAATATGAGTGAGTGAGGAAGGAAGGAAGGGAAGAGAGAGGGGCATGGAAGAGAGGTGTGCTATTGTGTTTATGTTTGTGTGTGTGGGTGTGTGGGTGGGGGCAGAATCTGGAGTCACACATGATATTTTATGTCCTTTTACTGAAGCTTCAGATCATGTTTTGGGCTGTTTTATTTGTTGTCTGCCTCTGATTAGTTTATGAATTATTTATCTTTCAAATACACAGTTCAAATAAAATTTTTATATTCCAAAAAATATTTTAAAAATCCGCTGAATATATTTTTTAAAACAGCTATATTTGTTTCAAGGATCCAACAAGGGGCTGCGCGTCACCATCTCAACCCAACAGAAATATCAAAGGGCCGTGTACTGTATGTTGGTGGCTCGAGGAGGTGCAGTCCGCGCCGTGCATAACAATTGCACCTGTCAGTGTGGACCGCGGGCAGAATTTATGACCGCAAATGTTATGGTTGTAAACGGCCTGAGAGAGGAATGAAAAGCAAAACACTCCTCAGGACTCGCGGCCCTCAGAAGTGTAAAACTAGGCGTAGGAGGAAGGCAAGGGAAAGAATTTCATACTCGGCGGCTTCTCCCATACAGAGGCTCGGGTTATAAATGATGCCTCCAGTCTGGCTGCGCGCAGAGCTGCAGAGCTGACACCGAGAGAGGAGAGGGGCTGATGATATTTTGCTGGCCAGAAAGAGGCAGAAAAAAACAAGGCTTTACGCATTTTGGAAACCGGGTAAATTTTCGAAAACCTGAGAGAAAATTAAGATAATCTGTCTGATTTAATGAATTTCTGTGTGCATGTCTCTTCACATTGTTGAATAAGAATTTCATGATAAGTAAAAGATTAATTTATTTGTCTCTCTCTTTGGAAAAACAAAAGGAAATGTGTGTTTTACGCTTAATTCGTGCGTAATTGTCGCGTTAAATCTAGATAGCTAGGCCTGCGCGAATAATCAAGCGCAGAGGCGAAGTTAAAGCCATCCCTCATGTCTGTTGTCGTGATTTAAGCCTCCTGTGAAACTCCGTGAGCGTTAATGTGCAGCCTAATAACAAACCACCCTTTCACCTTGTTAGCAGTTGGCAGTGCTGTTCAGTCCCTTCATTAAAGAAATGTTACTCACCGAAATCTGTGTAAATCTCCTTAATGTCCCTCACGCATTCATCACTGCTCCCAACTCGACCTGCAGAAGAAATAAAAGACATTTTTTTTATATTAGTATTATTTTCAATTTATAAAGTTGATGCATTTCTCGTTATTTTGACGCAAATAAACCTGAATAGCCAGTGTTTTTGCTCAGTTTCACTCATTTTATTTTTGTATTTGAGTGATAAAGTTATTGTGATATGAACAAAAAAATTCAAGCTGAAAAAAATAATGAATTATTTTGGGGAGCATCATCTTTCCTCCTTGATAAAAAAAACTCGTTATGTAGCTGAATTGTAAGGGTTGTCTTTGCACTGACCACATGACACATTTTAACACAGAGAGAGAAAAGTCCTACATGTGCACTTTGACACAAAGAGCCAGTCGGTATTTTTAGCTGTCATAAGCTTTTTCTGTGACCTTTGGGTCATAAGGTATTTAGTCAAAGTTTAATGAACAACGAGCAGTTTGGTTTAAAGTAGCCCCAAGTCTCAAATAAATTCAAAGCAGCTTTTCAGTGATGACTGAACCAGGAGAAGATGTCCGAGCGATGGCAAGAAAACAGAAAAATCTATCTGAGAAATTCACCTTACTATAAATATTTCTGGTCCTGTGTGGAGCCATTTCCTGCATTTATTTTTGGGATTTAAACACGTGGCGTGGAGATTTGAAAATCCTTCGTTGTGGAATATTTACTCAAAGTGGTCGATAATCTACGCCTGAAGTGCCTTTGAGCACACTGGGTTACTAGTAGCAGACATGCTCCTCTTTTCACACAGCGGTGTTTTTCGCCTACGCGCTGTTACGGTAAGTTTGGTTCACACAATGGGCTGGACTCCGAGTGGAGTGTTATTATGTCGGGTAGTAGTTTCTCAAGCTAATCCCTTTCAATCCTGTCAAAATTATGCGTTACAAAAAGTAAGATTGCGTTTCGTAAGCGGTGGAAGATGTTTGACGCATCCCAGGAATAAATGCCGTTAAATGAAATGTTTGCAATCGTAGAAAAATATCGTCGTAAAATAGCGTAGTCAAATTCGGATGAAAATACAAGCTGGGTGTTCACAACATGACACGCCAAAACACGATTTTAGCTGTAGGTTTTGTTTAAACGCAGAATATAGTTGGTGGAAAGGTTAGAAAGACGCACAATACTGTGTTTACGCACATAGTTATTTCCAATCATAGCTAAAACAGCGACGAATCTGTTACCACAGGATGAGCAAAATGGTAAATAATTCCTAAATGTAAGGCCTGATTTTTTCTCCTTCCAAAAAGTAAAATCTTTTCAATAAGTCACTTTAAACCAAATAAAAACAAACAAAATCGCATCCAAATCGTAGCAAAAACGAAGTATTCGCCTTAATTCGTGTTCATAATCCATCCCGGTAATCCTCAAAAACATCAAATATGAATCCATGTATAATATTAAGTCTCGGGTTAACAAAGCCATACAGTAGAAACCACATAAATCACGGCAAACGCCACAGTGACGATAAGACAACAAATTAATGTGATTTACGATCCAAGAGTGAAAAAGAAAAGTTCCCCTCTTACTTCTTCCTCCGAGCAGCTTTTCATCCAAACGTGAAAAGAGCAGAAAAACGCAGAGCACAATCTGTCGATAATATTTGAAGTTTAGAAAAAAAAAGTATATTATGAATGTGCTTTAGAGGAGGTGGATGTGGACTCCATATATCCAGCGCAGAGAGCGACATTAACAAGCATCACCTCCATGAGCGGAATAAATCACAGATATTCCCTCGCATTATATTAACCCGTGGTTAAAGGTTGCTTTCTGCCATGCAGTTTCTTACCTGCGAATCAATTCATCATAAAGCACTTTCCCTCTCAGTCTCCTTCCTTTCCACGCAGTCTCTAGAAGAAATCCTTCACCCTTTGTCTGTACACAATGCTGTCCTAAACCTGATCTTGCTGTTTTTCAGACATTTCCATATACCAGTGGAGACAGTATTCCCGAAAGAATGGAAGCACTCGCATTCAACTACCAATAAAAAGCGAACAAGGTATCCTTATTCCTGAAAAAAAAAATCCCTGGCAATCAATCACCCATTGGAATATAGAGGAATTCACAGCCCGGACAGGCCTGCGCGGATTTGGAGCTCCAACACAAGGAGATTTTTTTAAGGTGTTTCGGAAGCTTTGTGATGACAAATAAAGGCGGCTGCTGTAAGATACAAGCATATTTGTTCACGTGATTGTTCTCTTCTTCAAGCGAGCCTTACCTCACCAATCCATTCTGATAAAGGGTGGCGTTTATTTCCTCATCTGAGCTGTGTGAAAAAGCCTCACTGCCTATTTCTTTCCATCATGAGCATTTCAGCTCTCTGCTACTTCAGTATTTAACACAAGCACTGCACATGAGGATATTTTAAAGCTTTTCAAGATGGAAACTAAGCAGAGTATAACATTAGAGTGGGGTTAGGAGTGATGCAGTGTGTTTGCGTGCGTAATTGTTTAGACTATTTGAGCATTTTATATCTTTCACTATCTTTTAATTTTGCAATACTTTGATATTTATTCTCACTATTTTAACTGCATGCAATTTCATATTAAAGCGTGAAATGTGGGCCTTGAACGCACCGCAGGTTTCGAGTTTTGGGACGTTTTAAAACAATACTACAATGCTTTTGACGCTCAGATGGTGTGGGGTGTACCTCAGAAATGATTTATGAATTAAATGACATGTGCGTTTTTTTCCTCCATCTGGGACTAGATTGTATTCAAATAAAGCCCATTATCATCTTTTGTTTGTTGTGTGTGTCTTTCCCCACACAAAGAAAGAAAGAAAGAAAGAGCCAGGGCTTCTCCTGAATGTGTCCGGTAAAAGCTCCGGAGGGAAGGAGCGAAAGAAAAAAAACAACATATCTGTTCAAAGAAATCAAAGATTTGAAAAATCACCAGAACGGATTATAAGACGAAGGTTTGGAGCCGCAAAGAGCGTCTGCTGCGTCTGCTATCTCTGCTGTGAGGACGAGGAAGAAGAAGCAGCAGCAGCAGCAGCAGAAGGAGGGATACAGGGCTGGTAGCGTTGCAGCATATGTTCAGAGGGTAATAAAAGTGAAAGATTTACAGTTTTCGGCCGGCCCCCCAACAGCCTCGCACCCTTTCAGGAATTACTGAGAATGATTTACAAGCAGGCAGGAGAGTTGGGCTGCCCAAACTTCCAGGATTTCTTAGAAATCAAAATCAAATTATCTTTAAACAGCAATATATCAGCAGAAAACGACTGCCCTCCAACGCAAACACCAACGAAAAATACACCTTCATTCATGGAGAGAAATGAATTAAATGCAATTCTACTTGAAAAGCAAGACTAAAGTTTATTATTTTAATGATGCCTTTCTGATAAACTACCATTGTGTTTATTCTTACGGATAAATTGTCGAACAAGACCCCCAAATAAAGAATTCGTGGGCCCTATGAGGGGCCACTCTGTGTCCAAAAGCGCATCTATCCTGAGCGAGCATCCATAAATACATGTCACTGCCCTTTACTTTTTACCATCTATCCTCCGAATCCCACAAAGCATATTTGCGTAACACAACAACCCCTCAATAATACATCTGTGCGATCATTTAAATAAAAAGGAGGACATGCATTCAGCAGCTATCCGTAGTCCACAGAGCACACATCAAACACGAGCAATATATTTGATATCACGGCATTTGATATAGTCATTTAGCAGCTCTGGCAACATGAAAAAATGCTGAAATATTTACCTACCCAATCATCCATCGGCTCGGATGTGTCGCTAAAGTGCGGGGCTGCACGCTCGCGCCGGGTATCGGATATTATTTTCTTGGGGGATCTCTTCAGTTTTCAAGTCTGATAGAGTCCTTGCGATTAATGACGACGCCGTGTTTCTAGGGGGACGTGCTGCATTAATTATTTAGACAATCACGTGGTCGGAGAATGGAGAGCGGAGTGGTATAGTCTCCGGATTAGATCTGTGAATGCAGACAGCGCACTTTAATATATCTTAGGGGGGTTGTCTGGCTCGGAGAGGCTTCTGCGAAAAAACAGCTGGAAATCAAATATGGCCGGATGGAGAGCAACGGCGGTGTATTCCTGCACTGGGTGCAGTGTCATTGAAAATGGCACTGCCTTTGGCTCCCATTTATTGCCGTTCAGACATGTAGGTCAGTGTGGCTGCACAGTGGATGCTGGAGGAGGCTGCTCTGACCTGAAAATGGCCAGGAAGACTGCTTTATGATATATTTACGCCAATTACAAATTATGTTTGAGTGTATATATTATCATATATTATCTTTGATTTTAAACGACTTAGCTTACATTATTCAAGTTTTTAAATATAGATCACTATTATTACACAACTTTGATATTGTATAGGTTATTAAAGTATAAGATTAGTTGCCCAGTTGTTCAAACATCCCACCCTCTCCTCTCACCCTCTCTTCAGCATCTCTCTGCACATCACTGATGGCAGCATGCTGGATTGGTAGCATCACTTTGTCTCAGCTTCTCTTTAAATCCATATGACACACACGCCTCTCTTTTTTTTTTTTACACATACTCACTAACATACAGAGTCCACGCACGCCTCCAACCCCGCGTGAGCTCAGCTGGGATCCCACATTGGTCAGTGGGGATGAAAACATCCCTGAGTGACTGAAGATTGTCTTTCCACATGTCTGTTTATGAGCTCGTTTGTTTGTATCAGAGCTGATATGTGTGTGTTGGTGTGTATGTGGAGGGTCACGGGTCACTGTTGCAGGGGGTCACATTCAATAAAGGCAGAGTTGGAGGAGCACGAGGGGGCTTTATATTAAATGCGTAGTGTAATATAAGTGTATGTTGTGTACTTGGTGTATTTAAACAGTCTATGTGCTGGTTCACAGTGAGTGTGTTCAAGACATGCCAAAACATTCAGTGATAGATGTGCCGTAATCTGGTTTCGGCCCGGCATCTCATTATGTTTTCAGTTTGGAACTACAAAACTTGTGTTAACAGTTGTGTTTTTTTTCTACGTTATACTCCCTCTCTGTATAAAGACTCAAGTTACTTATAATTTTATCCAAATTAAAGTTTTTGAGATGTTTAAGGCAGCCTCCATCAAACAAAATCGCCTTAAAAAGCTCCACAAAAGACGTTGGTGCGTTTTTACGCATCCATGAGCGTCTTTGGATAGGAACTAATGGAAGAAAAATACAACACACCCGTGTTGAAAGTAGTTTTTACGCACGCTTCTAAATACACTCTGCGTTTGAAGACCATAAATACATTTATGCTGGTTAAATAAATGCTGAAGAAGAGAAAAGGCTGACTTTGCCCATGCAGCGCGCATTTGGTGCATTTGTGGGAGTTTTGTGAAAGGGGGCTGTGGTCCATATGGCTCCACATGCTCAAGAAAACTCTTTTCCCACCAAAAGTGCGCCATTTGTGGACCTTTAGAGAAATCCAAACTGAGTGGTTTCATACAAATAAAGGGGAAAATTCAGTTTTGAGTGCTCTGAGAAAATTCTTGGTGCTCGGTGGAGCCGCAGCGTTAAATTTGAAGTACTTTTGCGGATGGGGAATTTTAAAAAGCGTGACAAAGAGCTACTAACAAGGATTTAAATGCATAATCAGTAGAAATCTTTATTTTTTCCAATATACTTCTCGCATCTCAATGCACAATACAAGGTAGAAAGCATGTACAAAAATAAAACCAAAAAGATTGCATATTGACATGAGGAGACAAATGCACAATCAGAACCTGGAGGGGGCTTCGTGTGAGTTAAATACTGTTCAAACTCGTGTAAACTCTGGAATTCAGACACTGAATCCCTTCTTGGATACTTTAGTCCTTTAAGAGTGAAGGAAAAAAAAGCGCCTGGGAGAGAAAATGCTGCCTGTCCGGCGGGTCAGGGGTGTTGGGGTCAGTCCTCGCGGCTGAAATGTGTCCCCTGGATGAACCTGCCGCTGCTGCTGCTGCTGCTTTGTCGACCTTCGCTTCAAATACCTTTTCAAGCCTCCTCCTCGTGGTGAAGACTTCAGAAAGAAGACCTCCACGTTTACAAGAAGAGCCACTGGGCCTTTTTTTTAAGGGTTTTTGTTCCGAAAGACAATGACGGTCTAAAACAAGAAATATCTGTCTTGAAACGTGACGTGAAAGCCCCCCCTTCGGTTTGCTTGAAAAAAAAAAAAACTGGAAGATTCCCACATTAAACTAAGACTAAACTTTGCATACAGCCATGCGAATAATGCACAAGAGTTCAAACATACTTTAGATTAATTAAATTTAACGAATACTTTTTGTGTGTGTGCTATACGAAAATTTACACGTTTTTAACAAATAAATAATGACGTAAAAATCATAGCAAAAAAAAAAAAAATCTTAAAATAATCCGGTTAGGATTATTCCCGATGAGAAATAGTAATTTAGTGCCGTGCAGGAACAAATGCTGTTTCATAGTAGAGTTTGAGCTGGCATGTACACTGTTTACAAAGGTGTCAGAGAGATTTATAAGGACACTCAGAGGAGAACGCACACAGGAATGTCTTGTTTTTTAGGGGAGTATTATATTTAGACGTAAAAAATCAAAGCTTGAGAGAATAAATTAAAAAAACGAGAAAATTTAACGGAGATTTTGCAATTTACGAGAAGAAAGTTGTGTATCAGGCGTGTTGTGCGGGTTTTTTTTTTGTTCAAGTATATATATTTTGTGCGTTAAATGTGACTTTTCTGTATGGGTAAAAATATTTCTGTGGGGTGTTTTGGTTGTATTTTGAAAGAAGGGCTTTCCTGTTTTGAATGAAGTCTTAACAGCAGCATGAGTCCACGTGAGAGGAGCTGAAACACTCTGATCAAATCCATGAAATCAGCCGTGGTTACTCATTTAATGTCCTCAGAATGTAGAGTCCGAAAATAAGAAAATAGAAAATCAAAAAAAAAAAAACAAAAACTGAAAAGTGATTGAGAAAAAAAAAAAGAAAGTAAAAAAAATGGAATGAAGGTTTTGGAGCCTTGAGAGCAGAAAAGGCTCAACTTAAAAAAAAAAAAAAAACTCAAGTCTGATTGATTTTCTGACTCGTTCTTGAGGCAACACTGCTGGGGTCATTTTTTTCATTAAATAATAATAACATTAAAAAATAAAAAATAAAAAAAAGGCATCAGTCCATGCAAAAAGTCAGATGCAACCCTCTGCCTTTGTTATGTACAGTTCATTCCCCTTCTTGTCTTATAACGCTGTGATATCAGTCTGGTTGTCCTTCTGCATGCTCTGCAGATGGCTGGAGGCTGGTGCTGATCTGCCTTTGGTGTTGGGCAGTTTGTGATCCTTCTTCCATTTCATGCGTCTATTCTGAAACCAGATTTTGATCTGCCTTTCGGACAGACACAGAGTGTGGGCGATCTCGATCCTCCGCCGCCTAGTCAGATACCTGTTAAAATGAAACTCCTTCTCCAGCTCCAGAACCTGCTGCCGGGTGTAAGCTGTCCTGGAGCGCTTGGGCTCCGATCCCGTGTAGTCCGGGTTGACTTTATAAGGAGGAAAGAAAGAAGAAAGAGACGCAGAAAAGTCAGTAGTTGTTGCCATGAGCAAACAAGCAGAACAAGAGGAGGGTTTTTTTTTCTCTAGACTCTTGGCGCTCAAACTTCTCGAAGAATTCACGAGGAACTAAAACAAGGAAGTGAGGGCTGATTTTAAAGTAAATTCAAGGAGATTTGCAGCAGATTTAAACGCCATTACAACCGGTCAATATGTGTTTTGAGTAGCTTTCAGGCGCTCACCTAGCGGCCTATTTCCTGAGCTATAAAAATTTATGACTTGTGTAATTGGCGAGGCCTTTAAAAGACTCCCATAAATATTACACTGAGTGATTCTTAAAGTAAGCTGCTCCACAAGTAAAGAAGAAGAAGAAGAAGAGGAAGAGGAGGAAGAAGTCTTACCAGTAGTTACATGGACTTTCTTCATCCAGGGGTAAACTACTGCAGGCTGCTTGGCTTGTATCCCATTCTGGCTCTTTGTGTTTTGCTGCTGTCCACAAGTCCGGGGTCCGGACAGTTGTACTGTGGCCCCCTGCTCAGTCTGTCCGCCACAAGGGCTCGAGTGGCCGGATCTGTCGTGCACATGACCCCGGTGTTGCTGCTGCACGCTCGGGTCCGGCACAGTGCTGCAGCTGAAGGGCTGCTCCGTGTAGTTTGACCGGGGGTAGATCCCTGGATGCTGAAAGTCTGAGTCCTGCGATGGACTGTAGTAGTCCGAGCCCTGCTCAGGTATATAGTTATTTTGTGAATATTCCTCGCATGGAGGAAATTTGGGATCCACATACTTAGAGTTCACCATATACGAACTCATGGCCATTAATTTCTGAAGGTAGAAAATACTAATTTTTCTCGAGTTGTCTTTTTTTCCTCCCTCCATAAAGCCCTCCTACTTGGTGTCAACTGAATAAAGTTAGCGAACCATGTGACCAGATCGGCCAATGGAGGTGATGCTGGTCCACACACGGGTAAACATACAACTAAAAGCAATTTTATCTGACTTCACGTGGACTAAAATTAGACCCTAGAGGAAAAGGATCAACGATCGTCCTTTAGCAGCTGTGTGCAAGTCGGATTTTTAACTGCAAGCCGGAAATATAAGGAAAAACACGCATTTTTCTTCACTTTCTATACTAGTCTATTAAAAAATAGGTATAAAACAAAACATAAATAAAGTCTTTTAGTTACATTTGTTGTTTAATCTGCGCAAAAATCTAAAATACTTGCGCGTAAAGGTCTAACTTTCAGGGCGCTGTTCAACAGAGACAGCAACAAAAGCTCCAAAAGCCCCCCGGCATAAAAGCAGCGAATAATGACTGAGGACAATTGATGGACACTGTCTTTGTCAAGAAGGGGTCATCCAAAAGTTACACCAATCTCATCCCTTCATCTGTTCCCATCCCTTTGAAAGAAAAAAATCTGTCTCAGGAGCCCATTGGCCAGCAGCAGCAGCAGAAGAAGAAGCAGCAGAAGCAGCAGCAGCCTCTGGGAATCAATAATGTGGAGACACAAACGAGCCACAGGAGGAAAAAACGCTGCAGCTGGAGTGTGCTGTGGTTTGGGTTCCTTTACCAAACCCACTTTATATTCCACTCAAACATAAACACAAACGCAGGCTAACTGTAAATAGTGTATTTGTAACTCCCTGCCTCAGGTTTCCCCACACTGCCCCCCTTATAAGTGTCGACCTGACCTGAGCCCTTCACGTGAAGTACGAGCTGTTGTCAGATTTACTGTCGTTCATTCATAAAGAAGAGCTCCTGTAACATCTGACAGCACGTCTATCACTGAACCCCTGATAAACACACAGTTTGTCGGTTAATCGAGGTTTTTTCATCGACCATATACTCCCCTAGAATCGAATCTGTGACTTTGGTTTCATCACACAAATTCGGTTCTACAGGGTATATATAGACGACGGTAAGCAAGAGGGGACACTTTTGGTAGACTTTATCTTGTTGGCCCTCTCCATACAAACACAGAAAGCCAAATATCACAGAAACAGGCTGATAGAAGCTCTCTAATGAAGTCTAATATCACAACAACTATTTTGTCTCGCCTTTTTACTCATTTTCTCTCATGGTGGAAAACTTTTCTTTTCTCCTTTTATATCTCATTTTAAAGTAGGGCTGCAAGCACGTATATCTACCATAGTTCGGGGTTTACATCGCCTCTTTGTTGATGACTTTAATAAGCCAAAAAGTTTATTCTAGCAATGGTAAGAAAAATAAAATGAAAAAAATAAAATAAACGAGAGGAAATTGTAGATGTAGTGTGTAATGAATAGTCTATATGTGCAGCAAAAGACATGTAGATAGTGGCGTGTTTTGATTTTTTCTTCTTTTCTTCAGCTTTCTTCTGATATAACTCAACACCACAATGAAAAACCTTCTTATGAATTGACTCTATATCTATAAAAAACGATTCAACTTCGTTTCCAAAGTGAAGCCTCAGTAAAATCCACTCCCACGCGCAGATAACCTTTGGGAACTCACTGCTACTAGAGGAGAAGAGGAGTTTATAAACAACCAAATAGATGAGAGTACGTACGGAGGCCACCGAGGTCAAACTGAATCATTTACAAACTTATTAAAAAGTTCAATTTTTTTTCAGTGGCGCTGACAGCTGAAAGGGTGCAAAAGTTTACAAAGTTCCCCTCAGACATTAACTCAACCAGCATGGCGGCTAATGAAACTTTTTCTAAAAACAGCTTTACAAAGGGGATTAAAGCGGAGAGGGGCTCCTTTTTTTATAAAATCATCTGAATAAAGTTGATGGGTTTTTTTTTTTGTCTGTTTTATGACACCAAAGTTTTCTTTTTTTTTTATATAAATGTGAAAAAAAAAGTCTTTAAGAGAGGAGTGTTGAATTCTTGGGGAAAACATTCAGCTTTGAGTCATTTAAAGGAAAGGTTTTAAAGAATAAAATGATTTAATGAAGTTTAAAATTAAGGCCCGGGTTTACGCCTTTGCTAAAAAAAAAAAAAAAAAAAAAAAAACATGTTGGATTCTTCAAATACTGGTTAGGCCTAATACTGAATGATGCCATAAATAATTTGATTTGTAAACCTGGATTTGGATGTAGTCTCTGTCTCTCTATGATACTGGCCTTTCATAATAAAATCGAGGCTTCTTGCTGCCCCCACTCTTATTAATGATTTTTTTTAATAATGGCCCCTCTGTTCGCCCCCGTCTCCAAATGTTCGTTTTCATCCTGGTTGGAAATAAATTAATAGAAAAAGGCAAAATTCGTTCTTGCACTTCACATTTCAGCTCCACTTATAGACAGGCTGACCTGTCTGTCACCTTGCCCTGCTGTCCTTCAGGCGGGTCAAAGTCGAGAATCACAACAAAAGAATGATAAAGTCAGCACTTCCTGACAGCTTGAGTTAAAACAAAGGTTAACACTGCAGCACGGGTGCACTTTTTATTCTAGTAAATCATTTTAACCACGATGAAGCTCAGATTGCTCACACTGACGACAGAAAATAAAAATCATAAACCACGAGGCCTTTTTTGATAGAAAATAAATGCACAAAAAAGGGTGGTCTTTGAAAATATTAAACCCCTGACCTTAAATGACACATTCACTCTAATATTAGCATTTATTTTATTTTACTCAATGTGACCGTGTCTGATAATTTAGTGATAAAACGCGAGATTTAAAGGCCTGCAGCAAAAAAGCATTGGGCCTTTGGTGAAAAAAAAGGAAAAAATGTGTTACTGTCTCAGCAAAATGTCTGCTTTTTACATGGATATTATTTACACAGTCTCGGGCAAAGTGAAGCTCACAAACGAGTGAAATTTGACAATTGATTAAATGCGATATGCGATAAATGCGATCAAATGCCGATCGAAGCACGCTTTATTCTATTTTTTAGCAACTCTCAAGAAAATTAACATCTTCACTCTGCATCAGCTAACAACACGACGCCCTAAGCTAACAAGTAAAAGCATTACACAACTGCAGACAACAACACCGCCTTAAAACTCCATCCAAAGAGAGCATCGCCTATCTTTCAAACCCCTGAAAACAACGTCAAGTTCAATCAAACCAACACGATTTAACGCGTTAAAGTCCCAAACAGCTCATCCTTCCTCCTCCATCTATATCTCTGCTCTTCCTGACGCACTGTCGCCACTTTTACAAGCAGGAAACGCCATAGCCTGAGCTCCATGCGCGTGACATCACACGCCCATAGCACGAGCAGAATGATAGAAAAAAAAAACAGCTTACCGCAGAGACTCCAACACATGGCACCCACAGTGGAACAAACACGTCCACGCAGGGGAGAGAATCTGCCTGATGATGGTGGTGCAGCAGCAGCAGCTTCACCGCCAATACAAGCTCTTTTCCAACCCATCTGGAGCACCTTACTAATACACAATGAGAATTATATTTTGGCTTGTCAAGTCCCGGGTCATAAAACAAACTTTAATGGCGTCACGTGTTTCCTCACAGCCACTCAGAGCCGCGCGCAGGCCCATAAATAATCCTCAAAGTTGCACTTACTCAATAACGGCGATTACACTGATGTGCACTGAGGAAAAGTCGTAGAAAGGAGGAAGCTGGGGGTTGTAACTCACGTGAGGGGAAAAGAAGCACTGCAGTGAGGGTGAAACTGAAAAATGCTTTTATTTTGGCAGGAGGGCTGCTAACTCTTATGCTGCTGCTGCTTGGATATCTGAGTTACAAGTCGCTTTGTTGTTGCTCTAGAGTTACACAAGAGTCTCTGGACATATCAGTTTTTTTAGGATTAGACCATGGTGTTTTTTTTTTCACTTTAAATAAGACTTGGTTTGATTTTATCTGAAGCCTTTTAACCTTAAAAGAAGTAATAAACATTGATCTCTCCATCCTTAAATCCATTTTCCAGACTGATATCTGGGCCCAGAATGCACCAGACTCACTGCTTTTCCTTTTTTTTCCTGCAGCAGAAGACTACGTGACGATGACACGAGGAAGAGGAGGGGGTTTGGTTTGCAAGGGGAGGGATTATAAATGTATAAATTGATATTTTGACTGTTATGGCAAAGTGTGGCCTCCTCTGAGCATTTAAAAAACCTGCAATCGTGGCTCAGGTCTGAAGTTTTTCCTATATTCAATATTTTCTTTGTCTTTCATGGACACAAAGATGACGTCACTCAGCATGTTTTTTTCTCTCAATACTCTATGAAATTGTCAAAAAGGAGGCGTCTTCTGTCAAAGTGGCAGAAAAGCATCTTTAAACGACAATAAAAGCATGCCCCATTTTACCGTAATACACCTAAAACATGTATCAGAACAAAGAAATGGAAACAAGGTCTGATTCATCAAAAGGGCCGCATCAGTTTGTAACACTGATATTTCTGTCAGTAACAGGTGAAGCTTAATACCCTACAGGTTCACATTTCTTAAAGACACACTTTCAAAATTGGAGAAAGTCACTTGACCGCCGTCTGAGCCAATCACAGGGCTCGATATCCCTCCAGTAAGACGCTGCTGAATAGGATCTGGGAGGCTGAGTGTTGGGCAACAGCGCCTTCTGCTGGCATTTTAACGACCCCCCACTCTCTTTCCACTGCAAAAGATGTCCATCTGCTCTGAAAACAATAACTGACCTCATCACCTCTCCTCAGATTAAAGGATTAACAGAGTTTTGTCAGAAAAAAAGTTAAAATTAACCGAGTGAAAATAATGATAAATTTGATATTTGCTTGATTAAAGTGGAGGATTTTCTTGTAAGACTGGGTTTAATTTATTTTTTTGAAAAAAAATGTGCAAAAAACTGAATAATAATAATAGTAAGTATGGGTTTTCAATTGTATTTCTATGCCGATTTATGCAATTTGATCTATCTAAAAGTGCGTAGTTTTTAAGTGTGAGGATGGGCGTATTTGCAGTATAGACTCAACATAAACGTCAGGGAGAATGTAAAATCATAAAACTGGAACATTAAATAGTGGAAGTAATGAAAACAAGCAACAAACAAAACAATTGATCGATAAAAAAGCGACCAAAAAGAGAAAGAAGAAAAGAATATACCAAACAATAACTGATCAAAATAACACAATGGCTCATATATATAAAAACAGCAGCATCTCAGTTAAAGTTAGGCCTACTTAATAAAAGAGTAAAACGCATTTACTGAATTTCTGTTTCCCTCTCATGCAAAATAAATCACCACAGATCGAACAAATGGGAGGGTTTTTAAATGAGGGCTATAAAAAGGAAACCACAACCATTCACAGAAGCTGTTGTCTGTTCAATGTGTGCAGGGCCTGCACTCAGACAATCTTCTACAAAATAAGATATCAAGCATATTTAGGAGATGTCCACCTTATCATTTGGTAAAGCAGGGCACAAAGAGTGATTCTCCTCAGATTTTTACTGACTCCTCTCGTCCCTGTGTTGCAGGGTCCATTTTGCCGCATTGCAGTAAGGCTGTAAATACTTTCGCAGCTGCCTGTCAGGCCACAGTGAAATACTGTCTTTGTTCAGTCTGCCCCAGCTTCATGCAGGCAGCTGAACATAAGCTATGAAAACTCTTCTTTCCATGCCAACATTGCATATGTGGAATAGATGGGAACACATTTTGGCTGCGTCTATGCACAGTGCAGCTTTTCAAAACATTTAACAACATGTAAAAACATAGGAGATGGGTTCAGCAAGGCAGTGCAGAGAAATGCAAAAAGATAACACTCTAGGTTTATAGGCACGTCTGATACGTTTGGGATTATGAGAAGGCATTTCTAAAAGCTATAAATCCAGATTCAGGCTTAAAAGTGCTTAAATACAAGGAGCTGACTTCTGATTCAAGTGGATTCTGCACCAAAATGTCCTATCAGAGCATCATCACTAACTTAAAGCTACATTTCTGCACAGTTATCTTCAAAAAGATGGTTGATAAGCTTATCACAAGCAACATTTATCACC